TCCAGTCCAGTCCAGTCCAGTCCAGTCCTGTCCAGTCCAGTCCAGTCCAGTCGAATGCAGTCCAGTCCAGTCCAGTCCAGTCCAGTCCAGTTCATTGCCTTCCAGTACACGAGAGTGGATTCCAGTGCAGTTTAGTACAGTTAATTCCAGTCCAGTCCAGTCCATTCCAGCGCAGTCCAGTCCCGTCCAGTCCAGTCCAGTCCAGTCCAGTTCAATCCCGTACAGTCCAGTCCAGTCCAGTCCAGCCTGGTCCCGGCCAGTACAGTCCATTCCAGTTCTGTCCAATCCAGTGCAGACCAGTCCAGTCCAGTCCAGTCCAGTCCAGGTTTCTCCATTACAGTCCATTCCAATTTAGTCCAGTCCAGTCCAGGGCAGTCTAGCCAAGTCCAATCCAGTTCAGTCTAGTCTAATCCAGACAAGTTCAGCCCAGTCCAGTCCAGTCCAGTCCAGTCCAGTCCGGTCCAGTCCAGTCCAGTCCATTCCATTCCAGTCCAGTCTAGTCCAATCCAGTCCAGTCCAGTGCAGACCACACCAGTCCAGTTCATTCCAGTCGAGTTCAGTCCAGTCCAGTCCAGTAAAGTCAACTCCATTGCAGTCCAGTCCACTCCAGTCCAATCCGGTCCATTCCAGTGCAACCTTGTCCATTGCAGCCCAGTCCAGTCCAGTCCAGTCCATTCCAGTCCAGTCCAGTCAAGTCAAGTCCAGTCCAGTCCAGTCCAGTCCAGTCCAGTTCAGTGCAGTCCAGTCGAGCCCAGTCCAGTCTAGTCCAGTACGACCCGGCCAGTCCAGTCCATTCCGGTCCAGTCGAGAACAGTACAGTCCAATCAAGTCCAGCCGAGTGCAGTCCAGTTCAGTCCAGCCCAGTACAGTCCTGTCCAGTCCAGTCCAGTCCAGTTCAGCTCAGTCCAGTCCAGTCCGGTCCAGTCCATTCCATTCCACCCCGTTGCACTCCAGCTCACGCCAGTTCCGTACAGTCCAGTCCAGTCCAGGTCAGCGCAGTGCAGTTTAGTACAGACAAGTCCACTCCAGTCCAGTACAGTCCAGTCCATTTGAGTCCAGTTCAGTCCAGTCCAGTGCTGTCCAGTCCAGTCCAGTCCAGTCGAAT